AAAATCTCATGATGTAACACATAAACCTTTATATCATATTCTTTCCATAATATGTATGAATTTTAAAAACATATGTCTATATTCACATGACCCTGGGATGGAAGAGGATTTCCCAAGGCAGATGGAAAATCTGTTAAAGAAAACTTGATAAATTTGGCTATATTAATATAGGGAAAATACTGTATGTTAAGAGTTAAAAAGACAGTACCCCATTCACTATTTTAGACCTCTGACTTATAGTACAGTTTTATGTGACTTCCCCTATTGATCATTGGAAGCATACTTATATTTTGTCTTCTTCATACTTTTTCAAAATGAAAGACTTATTTGCTTATTTGAAAAGCAGAATTACAGAGGGAGACCAAAAGAGACGGAAAGAGAGAGAGAGAAAGAGACAGAGATCAGGGAAGAAGGGGGGAGAGAGGAAGAAAGAGAGGAAGAGAGAGAGAGAGAGAGAGAGAGAGAGAGAGAGAAAGAGAGAAGGAGGTCTTCCACCTGTTGGTTGACTCCCCAAATGGTCACAATAGCTGTGGCTGTGTCAAGCCAAATCCAGGACTCTGGAACTCCATGCAGGTCTCTGCATAGCTGGCAGAGACACATGTGCTTGGGCCGTGTTCTGTTGTCTTCCAGGGTACATTAGCAGGGAGTTGAGTCAGAAGTGGAGCAACTGACATTTGAACCAGCGTCCACATGAAAATGCTACCTGGGAGCCAGGCAGCAGCATAATTGCACTATAATGTCAGCCCCTTCTTGATACATATTTTTAAAAAGAGGTCCTAGAAAAGTAGCTCCAAGGTAAAAGAGAACAGCAACTTAGATTGTAACATTTGACAAACAGGAAAGTCCTAGTGCTGTTTTCTAGGATGGCTTGTAGCATTCCACTTGTCTTAGAATTTAAGGTAGCATTTTATAAAGATAGTGTAGGTTACAGGGTTTGGGACACGGTCATGATCGAATCAAAGTAGCAAGGTAACGGAAAACTCAAATTATATTAATTAGTTAAAATGAATTCAGATTTCCCTCGTCTTGAGACAAATTAACTTAAGAAAACCAAATCACTCACATGCATGTGAGTTTTCCCAGTGGAATAATTTTGTATGCTTGAGTCCATTAGTTTAGAAATGTGTGCTTCTTTAAAAGGCTTTCGGTATAATTAGCATGTAGTTTCTCATTCTTCTTGATCTTTTTATGCTTTCAAAAAGAAATAGACACTCTGATACACACACACACATTTTAGAGACACTTTTGTTATAAAAATCTTAGAGTTGAATGTTGTAGATGAACATGCAATCCAAACAAAACAGTACAATTTATCACAAATTGAAAGAGCTATACTTTAATGTGCCACTCTATCTGCTAAAATGTTAATAATATAGAGCTAAAACAAAATAACGAATTGTCCTCTAGAAATGATTATAAATTGGAAGTAGCATTGTGGTGCAGTAGGTTAAGCCCCAGTCTGCAATGCTGACATTTGTATGAGTTACAGTTTATGTCCCTGCTGCTGAAGATCCATTCCAGCCCCTTACTGACGAGCCTGGGAAACCAGTAAAAGGTGGCTTATATATTTGGGCACTTGCCACCAACATGAGAGACCTGGTTGACACTCCTAGCATCAGCCTGATCCAACCATGGCTGTTGCAGCCACCTCATATTTGAGCCAGAGAGTGCACAATCTCTGTCTTTCCCCCTCTCTGTAACTCCTTTTCAAGTAAGTCTTAGAAAAAAAATGAATGATTATGAATTATGCTAACAATTAAGAAACTTGACGTACAGCTCATAAAAACACACATAACTCATCCCATGGCTTTCTATACTGTGGTAATTTATTTAGAAAATCCTTACTGTATTATATTTGGTGCAATGAACTGCTAAGACTTCAAACTCTAGATCTACCACTTTACAGCATTATCCCCTTAAACAATATCCCAGGCCTTTCTGGACTGATCTTTACAATGAAACAGTTGAATTTAACTGCAGCACGCTCTGTAGGTTCAGAAATCCAATTATAAGCTGTGCTCAAGTTGCAAAATTAAAATTTTGCACTTAAAAAAAAGTCTTTATTTATTATTATTTAATTCTCTGTGAATTTGAAAGGCAGAGTGACAGAAGGAGAGGTAGGATGAGAGATCATCCAATCACTGGTTCACTTTGGAGCTAGACCGGGCCAAAGTCAGGAATCAGGAGCCCCATGTAAATTTCTCAGATGTGGTAGAAGTAGAGCTTGAAGTCTAAGCAGTTCAGTGCGCTAAATATAATACAGTAAGGATTCTCTAAATGATCACAGTATAGGAAGCCATGGAATCACATAGGGGTCATCCAACTGCACTTACTTTTATTCTGAGGATCCAGGGTGAGTAGCATGGCCACTATAAGTGAATGAAACCAGATTTTCAGGACTACTTACCAGGGTCCTGTCCAGATCTTTGTGAAGGGCTATACAATTTGAAAATACAATACTGAAATTGTTTCATTGCAGTGGGCATTTGCTGTAGTGGATGAACATGCCATTTGGGACACTTGCCTACCAACATCTGGATTTGTAGCCCAACTCAACTGCTAACCCCAGCCTCCTGCTAATGTGCACCCTGGGAGAAAACAGGGAAAGGCTCAAGTACTTGGGACTTTGTCATTCACTGGGAGACCTGGACTGTGTTCTTGGATCCTAGGCATTGGGAAAATGAATGTGCCGCATGGTTGAGTGAATTGTCACAACATGTGGAAATTACGGCATTTTTGGAAACTATTGCTATGTAAAGCTTTGAGATGATTGTTAACTATATAAACAGATCCTACTAACTCCAACTTAATGTGCCACTAACTAAACTTCCCATAAGCCAGTTTGAAAACAAGGCTTTATCCAAATCTTACACCATAGGCACATCAGTAATTCAAAAGCTCTAAAATGTAATAAGCAGTGTTAGAAGATCAAAGTAAATATAAACAATCATATGAACATTTATTTAAAATTTGGTATCTTAGATATGATATAATTGCAAATGGGAAAGGCATTTTCCAACTGGTAGTTCATCAGAATTGTCAAACTTTGTTTTGGAGTTCATGGCAAGATTCAGAGTAGCTAATTCCAAATATTTGCAAATTAATACAGTTTGAAGAATGGAATGATATTTAAATTGTATAGATTAAATTGGACCATCCATTTTATGTATGTACCTTATAGAATTGCTAAAATTTTAAGAACAATTTTAACTTAAATGAGTAGGAGAAAGAATGTTTTATATATTTAACATGTTCTATTCACAGAATGATATTTTAAAAACAAAGGATTCATATAATAACAAAGGATATGATATGAAAGGGAGAATGTTGCTGGAACTTAGGGTACCTGTAGGTTTCCCCAAGAGATGTCTGAGAATAACCATTGCTAAGAATTGGGCGATTCTTATCTAAGACAGAATGGAATGTTAATTTGGCCAAATTGGTGTCTTTTTTTTTTTTTTTTTTGCTAATGCCTGCATTTTTAACCTGCTATTTAAAGCATCTTTGAATTTGAGATGTAAAATCAAGTAAGTATGCAACAGCAATTTGTAAACTATAATATATCATGCAAATGATAGTTGCTATTTTTGTACTGAAGAAAGAAAAGACTTAACATCTTCATGTACTCACTGGTTTCAATGTTCATGATAGCCAAAATAAGACAAAATGTGAGCTGTATCATTTGATTTGTGAATTATACAATTTCAACCACAAATATTTTTGTGAAATTATAAGGTTTATATAACAGAATTTCCAATATATTTCTCATATTTTACAAATTTCTGAAAGTTAATACATTTTCTTAATATGAGAACGGATTAAGAAGTATTGCGAAAAAACATTTCACAGAAAAAATATTAATATTACAATTCTGACTAGCCATGATTTCAGTTTCTTCCCCCGATTTATCATTCATTAACCTATTATATTCTCTCCAGTTGCAACAAGACATTGTGTCATACTCATAAATATTAATAAAGGCTTCTAAATGTACTAGCTTTAGGCTTTTCATGCTCAAAGCAATTTTTGTAACAGCTAACAAACCAATAACTTCTGTTAGGACACAGTAGTTTCTACTTTTTATTTGAAGTTTGAGCATATGATTAATCAGAACTCCAAAATTAAGATATTGAATCATTTAAAATTATGTGTTATTGTTTTATGATATAGTTGCATAGACACTGAGATTTCCCATCCCCTCCTCAAGTTCCCTCCCTAACCCCCTTATTCATTCCCCTCTAGTATTACAATGAGTGGTCCTACATGAACAATTGTAAGTCCATCATGCCACGATTGAAGTGTTTCCTGACATTGCAGGCATGGGCAACGTCAGAAAGTCTAGCATCCTACTATTAAGGTATACTCGGCAGTGTCCCTGGGAATCCAGCTTTGGTCTGGATACAGAGAGGCATACTGCACTATGTCTACATCTGAGCATGTCAGTCTCTGCTACACTTCTACTATACATCACCTTAAATAACAGAGCCAGTGAACAGAATCCACAGCAGGGAGAAAAGCAGAAGATTTGTATCAACATGAAGTTAAAGGACATGCCACAAAAAATTACCAGTATGTTGCTAGAGTGATGAAAAAGAAAATAAAAAACCTTCTTGTGGAAATTGATGCTACTGCATGACCCATGTGGCGCTGAAGAAATGACAGTAAAAACAAGAACATCATTAGCCATGAGATGTAACAAAAACAGTGTTGAATGGGGCATTTACAAACTCAGGTGCCTATAAGCAATCAAAAAGCAATCAAAAAGTTCAATTAATGAGTCACAAAAACTTATTGAAAAAGATACAAATGACTAGGAAGTGTGAAAAGTTAAAAATCACAGCAAAAAATAATTAGATTTGGCACTAAAAACCTGCAAATTGAAACAAGAAATACCCATTCCCTAAGAAGATAAGCAGAACAACCCCGGAGCCGTACAGCCATATTAGTGTTGCACATCACCAGGGGGCAACCACTTTAGAGATGAGAGAGAAATGGTTGCAAAAAATTTGGAATGCTTCATGGATTTGCATGTCATCCTTTTGCAGAACCTATGCTAATCTCTGTATTGTTCTATTTTTAGTATATGTGCTGCTGAAGTGAGCACAAGACATTGAATCTTCATTTCCATCAAAAAGTTATTTTAAGTCGTTTATGATACATGAGCTTTTCTTTATATTAAGTAGCCAATTCTTTTTACAATGTATATTTCTTTCACTCTGGCTAAAGAGACTTTCCCCCATTAGTTCAAGTAAGTTGGAAAACAAAACACTAAGAGGAACATTCTGGTCTTCCTAAAATTTTGCTTCTGAAAAGTGTTTGACTTTGGTAAATGCATGAATTATCTTGATATTTGATGCCATATCACATGGATTTTTAGAAATATAATCATTCCTGGGGTCAGCACAGTGGCTAACAGGCCAATCCAAAGTCTGCAACACCATTATCCTGTATGGGTACTGGTTCTAGTCCCAGCTGCTCAACTTCCAATCCACCTCCCTTCTTATGGAACGGAAAAGCAATAGAAGATGGCCCAAATATGGGCCCCTGTGCCCAAGTGTAAGACTCAGAAGAGGCTGTTGGCACTTGACTTTGGATTTCAGCTCTGACCATCGTGGTCATTTGGGGAGCCAATCAGTGGATGGAAGATCTCTGTCTCTGTCTCTCCCCCTGTGCATTCTAAGATGTAAAAATGGTAACTGTAAAGAAGAAAATTTGAATAGCAAGTAGTACTTCAATATACTACATTTATTAAAATACAAATAGTCTATTTTTGCATGTTTTCATTTTAAGGAAATCATCAATGTTTTTAAGATAATAGATGTGTTTTTCCTGCTTTTAAAAGTACATAACCTATACATGTATTAAGTAAAACATAATATTCCACAAATGTGTTCAATTATATATAGCAATTAAAACTAAACATGAAAGTTTTTTTTTAAAAAAATCAATCACATGGGAATTCTCAATTTAGAAAGATAATGCTTCTATTAAGATAAGAAGCATTTTTCATGAATATGGGATTCATATGAATCTCTTAAACAGGAAATAAAAAAATAAAGAATTCACTAATTACTTTCTATTTCTATTTTTTGAAGTGTAGATTTAAAAATTTAAATGTTTTAAATTTTTAATGGATAACAATACAAAATGTACAAATTTATGAGATACTCTGAGATGCTTCAATACCTGAATAAATGATATTTAAAACAAAATCTCTTAGAAAGACATACTGTAAAAAACCTGGATTTCAAAAATTTGAGGCTAGTCTGACAACTCAGTTGGCTAATCTTCTGCGTGGCATTCCACATGAATGAAGATTCATGTCCTGGCTCTTCCATACTTATGTTTGGGAAAATAGTGGGAGATGGCCTAGCAGTTAAGATGCCAGCTAAGATGCTAGCAACTCATACTGGAGTGCCTGGGTCCAATATCTATGTCTGGTTACTGATTGCAGATCCCAGGAGACAATGACGATAGCTCTGGAAACTGCGATGCTGCCACCTGATTGAGAGACCTGAACTCAGTGTTTGACTCCTAGCTTTAGCCCAGCCCATCGGGCTGTGCTGTGGTGGGCAGCTGAGGAGTAAACTAGATGATGGGAACCTGTTCCGTCAGGCTTCTACCTCTGTATATTAAATAAGCAATTTTAGATCTTACAGATACAGTTAAAAATTTCTCCTTACCTGTGGTGGTCAGGCCCAGACGCCTTGTATACCTGACTCCACTCACTGTTAGGAAGGAATCAGAGTTCTTCTAGTTCTCTGTCTCAGTTTCCTACTGATGAGGATGCTCACCTGTAGGTATTGTACATACCTCCCTATTTTTTTCTCCCAAGCAGACAATTTTCTCTATTGTGGATCCTAATATTGAGTAAAGAATCATGTGCTCAGTTCTGTGGCTATCAGTGCCATAGCAGTGCATCATGTCAGGAGCCCACAGTCTTCTGAGATGAGTGCAGCATGGGAGCAGCCAAAGACAAGCTGTTGCTAACGTAGTCTTGCCACTCAGACACTACATTCAACCCCAGATGATGCTGATTGGTACAGAAGTATTATAGACCAGTTCATGGTCTCTGCTTATCACTGGGACATGCCTGGGGGCTGCTAATACAGGCACCACCCTTGGACTAGGAATCATTAGGATCCTGTTTGTGTTGTGAGTTTTAAGACACAGTCCTGTAGTTACATTTACATCCTATCAACCAAGACAGCAGTTGAAGTTTTCGTCTTTTCTTTCTCTGTGAGGTTGCAGGAAGAATGGTGAAAATTGTTGCATGTCTAGACAAGCTGAAGGTAAGCTGGGTCACACCTGAAATTTCACAGCTTTATGATCTTGTGCAGTCTTAGAGATGTGTAATAGGCCTGTTTGATGAGAGCAGTAATGCACATTATAATGCAAGTCCACCTTTCAGGACACGGGTCTTTTACCAGGGCTGGGGAAGATCTAGATGTTCACCTGTAAGTTGTGACTCCAGGACAGAGGCATTTGGGCTCTTGCAAGTTGTTGTGTCTCACTACAAGTAGTATCCACACTGAACTCCTAGAAAAAAAATCCATGAGTCCACTTTCATGTCCCATCCCTTTGTGGGTGAAGTCTGATTTCTGTCTCTTCACCCATGTTTGAGAAAAGGTGGCAGAGGAAGTCCCTTGGCTTGTACCTGGGTCTCACAGTCATCAGGCTGTGTACACAGCAGGCCAACTGACTACTGATAGTGATACAGACTGAAATGAATTTGTCTTGCTGGGATGCCAGTCTCCACTGGGCACAAGGATGTTTCTAGCTCCAGAGGGGGAATACAGCAGCATGCTGGAAACTCAGCTCCAAGGCTGTGTCCTTTATTCTCACCCCAGCAGCAGTAGTCCTGCTCTGCTCTGCCCTGGGAGCTGAGGAAGGAGAGTGGTGAAACCAGTCCCTTGACAGTTAAGAAGGTTCCAGAGGCTCAGGTGGCAGGAATTAGCCCTGTGTGGCAGTCATAACATGAAATAAAACGCAATAAAAATAACATATAATAAGAAATATATCCAAGATAGTGACTCAAAATGTGTTCTTATTACTGGAAAATTTAAGCTAAGGAAGTTAACATGCAAACTTTTTATATAATACATCTATATATGAAGAACATGCAAGTCGTGTATCTTTCTCCCTAGGGTAGTATTGTGTATGTCATGTAGATGATATAGATAGAGATAGAGATAGAGATATAGTTAAGTGTAGGTCTCTACATTTTTAACATTTTTGAAAGGCAGAGTTACAGAGGGTGGAGGAGAGTCAGAGATCTTCCATCTATTGGTTCATCCTAAAATGGCCACAATGGCCAGAGCTGAGCTGATCCAAAGCCAGGAGTCAAGAGTTTCTACAGGGTCTCCTACCTGATGTCATCCGCTGCTGCTTCCCCCTCCATCAGCAAGGAGCTAGATAGGGAGTAGAGCAGCTAGTTTTAGAACCAGTGCCCATAGAGGGTGCTGGTGTTCCAGACAGAGACTTAACACTACAGTACCAACCTTATATTACTTATATCACGTGAGTCTGTGGGGAGTGGAGAACATTGGCCTGTTAGGTTGAAAATATTTTAAGAGATCATGACAGTGTGACTAGACAGGAATTTTGTAATGGTCAGGAGGATCAAGAGTGACACATTGCTGTGGACAGAAGTCAGCATGATTTGAGTGCATCTACCAATAGTTGAGAATGATTGACACGCTGTCTTACCATCTTGCAAGGATATGGGAGCTAAAGGATAGGAGATGGTAGGGAGCTGAGAGGTATGAGCGGACGAGTGATAGGGAATGGTGTCACAGCACTCATAGAAGAGTGATAGCAAAATTGGAGTCAAACTCTTATTTAGTGTTTATTCCTCAGCTGCACACAATGTAAATGTGCTTCACAGCATACATATTTTCATAATATGCACTTTCAAAAGTCAATTCCTCAAGTATTTTATTAACTATATGATTGATGTATGTATAGATATATCTATAACTAATAAATTGATGTATGCGTAGATATATCATGCAATAACACACAGAAATGGAAGCAAACAGATTATACCTGAGGAGCTATGAAATTAAAATTTATTATGTAAAATTCAAATAGAATCATGCTTAGTCTGTATTGGCAGCAATTAAATTAGAGGTTAGTTTTTTTAAAAGGATTTGTTTGAAAGACAGAGTTACAGAGAAATAGAGATAATTGAGATCTTCAGTTCATTGGTTCACTCCCCCAATGGCAGCAACAGCCATGGCTGGACTAGGCCAAAGCAAGGAGCCAGAAGCTTCATCCAGATCTAACCATGTGGACATGTGGGTTCACGGGCTCAAGCACTTGAGTCATTTTCTGGTGTTCTCCTGGACACATTAACAGAGAGCTAGATTGGAAAAGGAACAGCTGGGAACCAAACAGTGCCCATATGAAATGTTAGCATTGCAGGCAATGGCTTAACCTGCCATGTAATGCAAGCCCCTAAAAAGATATATTCGCTAAGTAAATAAGCAATTAAATGTCCATTTTAGAATTGTTCACTTTTTAAATCTTTTATGGAAAAGTGATTAAAAGATGACATGAATTTTCCATTAATATTTTGAAGTCCTTCTGACATTTTATTCTGGAATAGCTACTTTAAAAAAGATTTCTTTATATTTATTCTTATTGAGAAGGCAGATATTCAGAGAAGGAGATACAGAAAGAAAGATCTTTTGTCTGCTGGTTCACTCCCCAGGTGGCTGCAATGGCTAAAGCTGAGCTGAGCTGATCTGAAGCCAGGAGCCAGGAGCTTCTTCTGGGTCTCCCACACATGGGTGTTGAGTACAAGGCTTTAGGCAATCCTGGACTGCTTTCCCAGGCTACAACAGGGATCTGGAAGGGATGTGGAGCAGCCAGGACACAAAGTGGCACCCATATGGGAACCCAGCGCATGCAAGACCACTAGACTACTGCGCCAGGCCCATAAACTGCTTTTAAAAAAAGAAGATTTGTAGATGTAGAGATCTACACTTCTATCTATCTATCTATCTATCTATCTATCTATCTATCTATCTATCTATCAGTCATTGACATGACATACAAAATGCTACCCTAGGGAGAAAGATATATTGGCTTGCATGTTCT